TCAATAGTTCGACAAAATTTGCTTTCAATCATCTCTTTCGCAAAAACATTTTCGAAGGCTGAATAATTATTGATTAACATGGAATTCATTGATTGTTGGAGAATATGAACAATGACAGTCAAATTTATTCCGTTTTGATTCGTTGATGTATAAATAGTGTATCGTATAACACTTGCTTAGATCTGAAAGAGTAGCTCGAGTAAAAGAAATGCTTTTCGAAATATTAACGCCAACAGTAAACGTTTTATCAAACCATTATTTGTTTCTCATGACTCATCAGACCACGTTACAACGCGTGTTAGAAAGGTATGATGCAATTACTGTGTTGCACTTCTTAGAGGTATAAAACGTCGTGTTCTTTGCTTGCTTCCTCGTTTTTTTCTTCTCAAGCATTACTGACACACACAAAAACAAGACATGTTGCCTACTTCTTCACTGCTGACATCATCTAATACAACCGATGACTGTTCCATTTGTCTCAATGCTCTAGCAGCAGGCACCCCTCTGTTAACCTTGTCCTGTAGTCACAAATTTCATCTTCAATGTCTAGCATCGAATGTCCAAGCGCAAAACAAAGAATGTCCTTTGTGCCGAGCTATAATCGATGCATCAGTTGTCCAACTACTAGCACGTCCTACACAGCCACCAGTGCAACAACAACAACAACCGGTTTTTGTTGGTTGGGGATGGCAGATGCCTGTGGCTAACGTGAGTAATATTCCAAGTATTTTCCTCTCTATTCGATTTAGAAAACATACGCATCAGAATATACTTCGAGAGCAAACATAATTGTACTTTTTCATTCCACGCTCCGGGTTGAAAAAAGCGTTTTGACACGTGACTGCAGCATTAGAGTAATTCGAGCATGAATGTGTTACAGGTTGTTCCTTCGGTCGAAGAACCAGTCGATGAGATTGCCGTACGAGCTCTTTCCGATCGTCTCACTTCTGCCCGACAAGCTGTCGTTGCCTCCTCCAACACAGCTAGCAATCTCCCATTGATCACTGCTTCGACGACACTGGAATATGGAGCTCAAGCGTCACACGAAGAATCAAATATTTATGGCCTTGTCACTCTTCAAGCGCCTTCCACCATCTTACCAGCGGAGGACGAATCTTTATCGTCCTGTCGTGTTCCCATTGATCTCGTCTGCGTCGTCGATCAAAGTGGATCGATGTCGGGCCAAAAAATGGCTTTGTTGAAACAAACGTTAGTTTACATTGCCGAGCAAATGAATGACCTCGATCGACTGGCCATTGTATCATTCGATACAAATGCTTTCGATCGTTCACACGGATTGAAGCGAATGAATCAACAAAAGTGAGTACACCATTCATTCAGATGCAATTAACAGTACCAAAGGAAAACTTCAATATTTTGAAAACTATTTTTTTTATTTAGCCAACAAATCTTGACGAGAGCAATCAATAATGATATCAATGATGGAGGCGGTACCTATATTGGATGTGGTTTACACATGGGCATCAAACTATTTACAAATCGACAGACAAAAAATCCGTTGGGCGCTTTACTTTTGCTCACCGACGGTCAAGATAATCAAGTACATGACTACTCGCAACTGATGCAGACCATGCCGGAAGGTGTCGTGTGTCACACCTTCGGCTACGGACCCGATCACACAGCAGCACTGCTGGTGCAACTGGCCGAACAGGGCAACGAAGGTACCTTCACTTACATCGTAAGTTCAGCTTGATTTTATACATGACTATCCGATGTTCAGATTGCTGTGATGCATAATGTGTTTGTCAATCTTTTTGACAGGATGAAGAGCAAGCAGTAGGTCCTGCTTTCGCGATGGCTCTAGGTGGTCTTTTCACATGTGTCGCACAACAACTTCGGGTCAACATTGAATTCAACGGACAGTACACGGTCACCCATGTTCACTCGAAATACAAATATGAACCGGAGCAATTGCCCTCGACGAAAATCACTTTCAAGTTGAACGATCTGAATGCTGAGGAAAAACGAAATCTCGTTTTTCAATTACAAGTGCCCAAAGTGGACGAGGCACAAGATGTCGAGATGGCTAGTCAACAGCCAATGTCACAGAGTCAGTCGGAAGAAGAACAATTAGTGTTTGACAATCAAACCATTGGTGAGTATGGGCGACAGTTGTTCTTTGACTAGAACATTGTCAAAATTGGCAGACCGCATTATTGAAAGAATTTAAACGCACAGATTATTTCTTTTCTGATTAGGTAATGTAATAATCACCTACGTGGATCCCAATAGTGGTCACACAATAACTACAACTCCGGTTCCCTTCCAGCTGGTTCGAGCTTCTCATCCATCAGCTGATCTTCTTCAAATAAATCGCACTCTCGATCTCCAACGAAATCGAGTGGAAACGGCACACGTACTCGAGCGAGCGATGAACGAATATGACTATGGACGGTCGCTTGCTATTCTCAAAGGTCAAGTGGAAAAGATCAAGGCCAGTGTGTCCGCGCAAGATCCTTTCTGCCAGCAGCTGATTAAAGATCTGGAGTATCGTTATCCGTCAGAACGTGACTATCGTTCTTCACACCACAATAATTACTATCAACATCAAACGGAACGAGGCACATACGCACCGGTAAGCAATACCAGTGCGCAGCAGTACCTGAGCTCTCATCAAAACTATCAGGCTACTCACTTTCTGACCACACACACCTAACATTACTGAAAGTAGCCTTTATGTAATCCTGATATTGATATTTTATTGAAATAAAGGACTTACCAATAGAAATCAATAAATATCGGTGCTATGCAATAATAAGCGCGAAAGTCATCAACATATTTCGAAGAAATATTCGGATGCATACCGTTGATTTAAATATCAATGTGAACTCTAACCGAATCATAGATTTGTCTATGCGAATATTTTTCAAGGCTATTCGGTGTCGAGTCAGCGACACATTTCTTGGAAGCAACGCGAATTCAAAAGAATTCATTCGATTCTAATTGAGAAATATTTAAACAAGTTTCATTTATATTCTCATTGCCTTCAGTTCGGCTTCTATCATTCTGAAACTTAAACTATCAAAAAACACAAAATCAATCCTTGTAAGAAGCTAGAATTGATCATATTGATCTTGGCAGACGAACTGCAAAAATTAACTTCGCTGTTCTTTCCTATATTTTGCACAAAGACTGAAGTTGTGCAATGAGTCGATGTTATTCTTCGATATATATTTTTTTGTGAAGACTTTTTATAGGTTGTTAGTGGTCAAGTTACGAATAATAATACTTTAGGAGTTCTAGCAATTACTGATTCTAGAATATCATTAAATGAAGAAGTTGTAGATGAAAAGTATATCATTTATTTCAATGAACTTTTACAAAAAAACTAATTCTAACGAAGGAAACATAAAACTTTACAATAGAAAAACTGTTTATTATAAACAACAAGCACAGAATAAGAAAAAATAAATCGATTAATCAGTTTACGTCATTGGCAATGTGCTCAAAAATCGTATTAACAATCACTTAAATTAAATTCTAACGAAACTAATGCAGTAATTGATTTTGCAAAATACCTATCAAAATTCTCTAAATATAATCAAGTTATGAATTTTTAAAATAGAATCAGAATTTATCCAAAATGTTCGATTACTGGATGATCGGTAGTGTTGCTTATCGGAAAAAAACTAATTATGGAGAAGCGAAAGCACTTACTGTTAAAGCATTAAAAATAGATCGTAAAAACAAAGAAGCAGACAAACAAAGATCTTTACTTAAAAA